GCTAGTTTCGCCCTAATCACAATTTACTCCGTTGTTCTGCTTTTTGAATTGCCATAGTTTTTGCTGATATAACAAACCATACATTGCTACTTATTTTAACTTTACAAAATTATCGATTAATTTACTATAAAATTTCAAAGATTGTTTTTATGTGTCCCACACATGAATTTTTGGGATGTGATGTGTCGCACACATACTTAATATGTGTACACATAAAAGCCATGCGCAACCACACATACTATTCATTTGACTCATAAATTTCATGTGTGATTCTGGGTGGATTCTGTTTATGTGTGGTCACATGAAAATCATGTGGAATTTCACATGCAAATTCGTCAATAAAAATGTACGGAATTGTTTTAGTGTATGATTTTTTAAATATTTACGTGAAACTTAGCTTCAACTGCCTTTTTCACAATGCCTACTTTTTCCATATGGAACTGATATGGAATTATGGGCAGTATATTTTCACTCTAGAATCGGTCATTTTCAGAACCTTATAATGAAGTAATAGTAGAAGTGTTGCCAGCGATTTGAAAACCAGTATATGCTTTAAATTCCAGACGAATAAAACTGCCCGGAATTAGATGCATTAATTAGCAAAATTACAAACAGCGCTCAATTCAGTGCACGGAATTTTGATACTGATTTTTTAAATCTTATATTTTTAATGAAAATACGATATGATACATAGCTAACATATGGAGATGCATGGTAGTCTAGTGGCATAGGAGTATATGTTATGTAAAAAAGCCTAAATATTCAAGGAAAAATATAAAAACATATTGCACTCTCTAACATTTAATGGAAAAAAATCGAAAAAACGATATATTGACCCTAATGACAAAATAAAAAATGGGTCTAATATTTTGCGATAAGGAAAAAAAACTACAAATTTTTACGAAATTAAGAATCACTATATTGTTTTGCTCTGGAATGGCTGATATACAGATTTATCTGTAATGATACAGATTTTTTGCAAATTTTCGATACAGGATTCTTTTAACCTTTCAGCACTCACGCTGTTGTGCAACATTAAATAAAATCCCACTGACTTTGGAACTCACTCAACGTGAAACTCAACATGTTTCATGAAATTTAATACCCATGTCCAAAGAATCAAAAATATCTCCAAATGACAAAATGACAAGCGACCCACGAACCGAATGATAACGCTATGTCAGAAGTTGAAAGCAATAATGATATAATCTTCTTCCTTTTTTTCATGACAAGCAGCCCGTGCGACACAGCTCACTCGGGGCGGTAGAAGAAAACGAGCAAATTTGTTAACATGCTGCTTGACAAAGTAAAGCCGAAGATGATACACGTGTGTTAATGGGAATTTTTTATTATGTCTTTTCTCGATTCAGATCAAGCTATGTCCTCATCCATGTATATTGCAACGAAGCAGGCAAGCAATATATCATTATCCTTCTACCACTCCGATCGAGCTATGTTACAGAGCGAGTTTGTCATGGTAGTCGTAGCAACCGTTTTGTCTGTATCGTTGGTTGCTTTATGTGTTTGGATTCGCTGTTCATGTCCATTAGACCAATACTTGAAGAATATTTTGGAAAATATCAGGTTTCATGAAGTGCCTTCAAGGTGGAAATCAGAGTTGCGGCCTATCACAATCACGATCGTCAAACAGTTGATGGTAGTACCAACAATCAATACGAAACTAACGATTTTAAATTGGCTCACTACTTGACTAGCCTATTGGTCCCAAGAAAACGATTAACGTACCCCATTCTAGTCGAAATTCTAGTACTACGCAATGTTTGTTTTGATTTGCTATGAAAGTTTGACAGATAAAATGAGGTGTTAGTGAAATTTCCTATGTTTCGAGGGGTGAATCGATTAGCTTGGGACCGAAGAGAGTACCAGAGCTGAGCCAAAAAGTTGAGCACGTTATTTCGGGACCTTCTAGTCTTAGAGTTACATCTATGGTAGTACCGCTTTGTACATTCCAATCAATGTGCTCGACGAAGCTCTTTTCATGACCATCCATCAAGTTGACGATAGAAGTAAAAAGCAACTGGTGAATGTCGTCTTCGTTTGTGATCCATCACCGATCTGGTCATTTCCGACAAACACGACACTCATCTGTACTCATTTTGAAGAAGGTGCTGCTGTGCTTGCTTATGTGAGTGTGTTGGTGAGTGAGCCCAACAGCTTCCGTTTAATGTTGCCTGCTTTGTTTGTAACTCACACAGTCGCGCCTGCCGAGATGAACTTATAATGCGTAGACATTGTTTGTAACGTTTTGCTTGTGAGCAGCGACCATTACTGGTGATTGTTGTTTGCCATGGCTCTACCTCTCACTGCGTGACAAAACGTTCTGTGAGCGATAATCGGTTGATGCGTTGACGAGTGCCGAGTGAGTGTCATGATATTTTGCATCACTGGTGAAAATAATATATTGTTGTATTTTGCACAACGCGCGAGTGTTCGTGTTACAAAAGTTGGCACGAGTACTGAAAGGTTAATACAGATACACTGGAGTCGCTTTTAACGCGGTTTTTTTTACGCGGATTTCGGAATTTACGCGGTTTTTTTTACGCGGATTTTGGTTTTTTACGCGGATTTCAGAATTTACGCGATATATCGTTATACACTAGAGTCGCTTTTTACGCGGTTTTTTTTACACGGATTTTACACGGATTTCGGAATTTACGCGGTTTTTTTTTTCGCGGATTCCGGAATTTACGCGGTTTTTTTTACGCGGGACGTATCACCCGCGTAAAAAGCGACTCCAGTGTACAGACTTTTGGTAAAGCATACAGATCAATACAGATTAAACAAATACACAGATTTTTCCGGTTTATTTTTTAGCATTTACAGATGAAAAGTGTTTTTGAAACTCAAGATACAGATGAAGACGTGAAAAAATGTGGCATCACTGCTTCCAATACAACCTTCGAATTTTTGACGAAAACGATATTCCGATCAGACTGATGTGCATCTTTGACTATTCTAGATGAAATTTCTTACAAAATATTCTTTTCATTTTACGACACCGTCAATACTACATCGCACATAAAATGTAAATAAAAGTATATTTCCTAAATTACTCAAAATAAAGACGATTTTCTATCACTGTGCAAACCATCTATAACACTAGTTTACAGCATATTTGAACTTTGTACGCTGGTAGTGTGCTGGATCCAAAAATGTAATCATAAAAAATCTCAGTAGGATAGATACAGCTAAAACATGAAATTTCAATAGAAAAAAAAGGTTTGTTTACTAAAATACAAATATGCTGCAATCAAGCAATATCAATTATTTTAACGCCAAATTAAAGGTAAGAAAATTTGCTTTCGATCAACTAAATATCATTTTTCAGTTAGATTAGTGGTATTGTTGGCACAACCACTACAAAAAAACATTTTAAAAGATAAATATTGTTTTTTTTGCTGTATCTAGAAAACTATCCTGCTGAGATTTTTTTCGACTAAATTTTTGGATTCAGCGCACGATTTAACATAAGAAACAAGTATTGAAGTTCATTTTTTTACTCTTATTTGTAAACTAGTGTAATCATTCTAGAGTAGAGTGCCTGTTGGTTAAATGAAATTCAGCGGTATTTTCCATTGACTTTTGTTAGTATCCAAATGTTTACCTAAAAAGGGTTATTATGAAATATTATTGAATATTTAGCGTCCTACGCAACAATTCCTGCAATATAATCAGCTTGACAAAAGCTTTTCTTAGTACTCAAATTCAACCTTCATGTCAGAGGAATTCAAAAAAATTTCACCATTTTCCGAAAAATGCAACTGCGCAATGATGTTATGATTAATTAACCGTGAAAACATCACAGCTCCACACCGGAAGAATAACAGTTAGTTAGCAAAAACGTGTTCCTACGCGAGTCAAGCAACAGTTTCCCCGATAAAAGATTAGTTGTACTTTATGAAGCGATTTCCCCAAAAGTCGCCAGTTTCCCTTGGAGAATTATCATTATTAAAAAAACATTATTATAACAGTTCTCACTTCAAACTATAGGTGGCAAAACTTCCCAAAAATATCACTATAATGTGCCAATGGAATATATTCTCCAATATTACATCCTAAATGAAGTACAACCCGAAAGATGACACATCATTGACAAATATGTTCCTTCAAACGTTCAACGGTGTTCTCATTCAACATCCTTCGAAATCCACAGACTCCCCTATGCAAACAGTTGGCAAGCAGCTATAAGATATGAAACTGGTATCCATTCTTATGACCACGCTCAACAGCAGCTACTATTTCTCAACGATCATCACTGATTGCTCGCATAAACACACATCTTGCCTCATTCACTCACTCACACATGCTCGCACACCCAACAGCATCAGTAGCACCCGCACGTGCACGATCCACCCAAACGCATCGTCAGAATTTCCCCACCCGAATCTGCCGAATGGCCTCACTACTGCTTGTCCCCATTCTGAACTGCTGCGCGCTGTACAACCGTTTTCACAAACAATGATTGCTCCCTGCAAGGCTCAACACACCCACCAACAATGCGCCTGTCTGACTGACTTGAACACCAACACGCGCCGAGCCGGGAGAACAACAAGCAACACCCTAAAGACGGAATAACGGATTTTAATAAAAAGGCAGTAGCAGGCCGAACCTCGCCTACAGAAAATACACTAAACGTGGAAAATCATTATCAGAAAGCATCTCGTCTTTGGAGCGAGGAAACACAAATTCGGAATCACCATCAGTGTGCTAGTGTTGGAGATTTTTCCTCTTTTGCAATCATCATTTCGGATTATAGTCGCATTTGGAGAAAAATCTGAGACAGGAAAGCGACAGTATATAGTGCATTATAGTTGCTGTTACACGGCTGTTCGGTTTTTGACCAGATCGCTTGGTGAATTCGGAATCGCGGTTAGTCGGTATTTTTGGGTCGTGTCGAAACCATCGCGAGCCCCCCGGACGAGAGATCTCGGAACAGTCGCGTTCTAGACAAAGTGCAAGACAGATTTTTAGTCAAGGAAAAGGCGGTGCTGCTGCATTGAACAAGCTACGGGAAGCAACCGGTTGCATTTAATTGATAGTGATCTTATTTATTATTGTTCAGTGCTTCGTGAAGTTTTAACCACAACCAAGAAATCATGGTTTGTATCTGGGCAATGGCAATGGAGAACGATGGAGACGCATGGTGACTGAAATTTCGAACGAATTGTTAACGAGATCAGGAAAAAGTGGAAAGTTTTAGTGGTTAAAAGACAAACATTCGGAATTCAGAAGAAATAGGACGTGTTTCCTATTGATTAGTGGTAGCCAATGCAAATATGATGAAATTTCATAATTTGTTCTTCACAATCACCATCCAAGTATAAAATAATAATGCTTCATTTATAAAAAAAAAACATCAGTATTTCTCCCGATAATCTGAACATGAAATTAACAAAACTCTGCTCTAAACGATATTTATAAAATATCAAACAATTAAATTTTCAAAAAGTGATTTAAATCATAATCATCATAGTTGAATGAATGGATGAAACTAAGCGATTAAATAGAACAATCAATCCTTAATACACACGGCGAATGAGAACGACCCAAATTTGGGTTTAGTTCACTCATAATCGCCAAAAGTGCAGGAACTCAGCGATGAATAAATTTGTCTCATGGTTTCCTGTGGAAAACCTAAAAAATCTGCCGGAAAATGAAGAAATTGACGAAAATTTTATTCAGTCTCGTAGTAGTACCAATAGACTGAGTGAATCCAATCTTTACTTTTCTCAAATTCGGGAATTTTTCCCTAGAAAAACCCGGGAAAACATGAGACAAATTTTACTCATCGCTGAGTTCCTGCACTTTTGGCGATAATGAGTGAACTAAACTCAAATTTGGGTCGTGCTCATTCGCCGTGCAACTAACATATACGGTGGATCTTCGATGCCCGTGCAACCGATAGAGCTGAGCATGTTTAAGGGCACGTATGTAAGATACAGCGCCTTTGAATGATTGCTTTGAGATTCAGCCTAAAATTTGTCATGATCCCGTACTAAGAAAAATCTTGACTTCCAAAAACTAACGAGATCTCAAACTAAGGAAACGTTTCCCTTACATGAAAAATATTCAAAGACATGGAAAGTGTGAACATTATTTTAAGACGCCGAAGTTAAGCAAATCAAAAAATCAAATGGCTAAAATTTCCTTTTGTTGTTCATAGGATCCATGAAAAAATCGATGAGATCTTGCACTTGATAATTATTTTTCACTAGAATTTTGTTTTTCGAGATTTCAGCAATATAAAATAATGGTGATAACTAGGACTATAAAATATTTACATTGCGATTTGAAATGAAATTTGCGATACAAACATTAAATGATGTTTCACAGTAGATTTCTAATTCCTTTAAATGTATGCATTTTATTAGTTTATATTGCAGCAATGTGTTTAAGTATTCTTTATTTTTGTTATTGGAGAAAAAATGATGGCGTATGACGAATTATGAATAGTAATTCAAATCTCTGTTTAAAGGAAACTAATTGCCCCGGAAAAAAATACGTTTTGATTTTTCTAAAATTATTGGCCAACTTCCTTTATTTCCTTGTTGAGGCTCCACTGCCATGAGGCCCTGGGTCTTCTAAGTCATCATGGTTAAAAATTGGACTAAAAAAAAGGTAGAAATCAACCATTCCAACTTTTTTCATGATGAGATAGAAAAAAATTTGTAGACAGTCTACCCCCCGTAATCTGACCGTTCTTAATCTGAACAATTTTTGTTTTAACCGAGGGGGACGACTCTATCTACGATGCAGAAAAGATTGTGTTTTGCTGTGGCTAGCTGCACGCACGCTGAGAAGATAGAAGGAAGATTTATGTCGATTTTGAAGATTTCCTGCAAAAAGTTGAAGCACGATGCAAGTAGATGCGAGAAATTAAAGATGATTTTTCGAAGATTGATTCGCTAGTGTGAGATTTTTTGAGCATCTAGAATTGAGATTTAGATGTGTCGCCCCCCTCGGTTTTAACCGCGCTTATGTACACACCGTGAAAACTAAAAATTGCTCAAACCTCATTTAACTCATGGAATTCATAGACACATGGCGAATGAGAACGACCCAAATTTGAGTTTAGTTCACTCATAATCGCCAAAAGTGTAGGAACTCAGCGATGAGTAAAATTTGTCTCATGGTTTCCTATGGAAAACCTGAAAAATCTGCCGGAAAATGAGGAAATTGACGAAAATTTTATTCAGTCTCGGAGTAGTACCAGTAGATTCAATCTTTACTTTTCTCAAATTCGGGAATCCTGGAAAAACCTGGGAAAACATGAGGCAAATTTACTCATCGCTGAGTTCCTGCACTTTTGGCGATTATGAGTGAACTAAACTCAAATTTGGGTCGTTCTTATTCGCCGTGTACTAAAGATTCCATAGATAAGCGGAGGCACAAAAAGTTTTTCTGGAAACCATGAAAAATAAATACTTTAGCTGACATCCGTGGAAATCAAAGAGCTCGTCGTTATGCAGATTTGTTTTGTTTTGTTTCGTGCATAAAAGTTCAAAATGAAGTGCAAAGCAAATTTTTGCAACAATTAATCGAGGAGTGGTTTGTGTAATACTTCCTGTTTCGGGTTTCTAAAAAATCGGAAGTTGGAATGTGGAAAGCGTTTTGTGCTCATAATATTGCAATACTTCCCCGGTAAAAAAAACACCATGACGACGTCATGCTCGTTTGGCTACACTATACACACTTAGATTCTTTTATCGAAATCTATGAAATTTTACCGAAATCTCAACAGCTGAACGTTCGGTAAACAGTTCGGTGATTTTTCACAGATTTCCTGTAATTTTTCACAGATATTCGGTGAAAAATTACAGGAAATCTGTGAAAAATCACTGAACTGTTTATCGAACGTTCAGCTGTTGAGATTTCGGTAAAATTTCACAGATTTCGGTGAAATAATCTTAGTGTGTATGACAGTTCATTTGGCTTCATTCTAAATACTTCTATACAAGCTGGAAAAAGGGCCTATCTGCTTTGATCGATTCTCTTCATCGACTTTCCCTTTCGTTAATAAGGGGCTGTTCATTAACTACTGGGGCCTCCCTTAGCTCAGTCGGTAAAGGCGCAGCTACAAAGCAAGACCATGCTGGAGGTGGGTGGGTTCGATTCCCGGTCCGGTCTAGGAATTTTTCGGATTCGAAAATTTCTCGACTTCCCTGGGCATAGAAGTATGATTGTACTTGCCACACAATTATACTAATGCAAAAATGGTACAGGCATCGGAAGCGCTCAAGTAATAACTGTGGAAGTGCATCTAGAACACTAAGTTGAGAGCACGCAATAAGCTAATATGCGATATGCAATAAGCTTGAAATGCGAAGAAGAAGAAGAAGTCATTAACTACGTAGACAGTTTTTTTTTGGATTCTCGACCCCTCCTCCCCCGCGTAGACAATTGTCCATACAAAAAAATTAAAATTTCCTGTTGTATTTGACGATTTGGACGATGGATAAAAACCTCCTTTTTCATGCTATGAGGCAAAATTAGCAAGAAACCTGTTTGCACAACCGTGGTTATCAAAAGAGAAAGTCGATGAAGAGAATCGATCAAAGCAGATAGGCCCTTTTTCTACCTCTGTATAGACTTCACCTCCGCTTATCTAGGGAATTTACACGGTAAGAAAAAAGTACCCAAAAGTAAGTTCATTTCACTCATCTCGGCACTACAGTGCATGAACCCAAAAGTAGGTAAAGCGGATCAAAGTAGTTTTCATTTACTGTTGTGCTATTCGTATGGAATTTCCCACTCGCATTCTACCCAAAAGTAAGTTTTTGTGTACAACTAACAAGTAGGTAAATATGATTATACTCAACATTGGGTTCCCACACTTTACAACCCCTGTTGGATGGTTTTGCTCCTTCATTGTTGACGACATTAGAAGGAGAAAAGGAGAGAAACTAGTCAAGAGTAGGTAAACGTGAACTGGCTGTTTGGTCCTTTTTTCTTACCGTGTATCCAGCTTTCCATGCTTGGTAATGGTGGCCTGTTTGTATGCATAAATGAATCCTTCACTGTGCCTTTTGACACTAACTGAAGGGCGTATGTTGTTCCATTTTCTTCTGTTCCTGGAAGAATGAAATATATTTCATTCTTCCAGGAACAGAAGAAAATGGAACAACATACGCCCTTCAGTTAGTGTCAAAAGGCACAGTGAAGGATACATTTTATTCATACAAACAGGCCGCTATTACCGAGCATGGAAAGCTGGATAGTATCTATAATGGAATAAGGCTGTCCACGAGACAGTTGCGATCAGCTGACTTTTTTGTTTACCAAGAATTTTTGACAGATCACAGTAGAACTGGCAGTTTATTCTCATATGAATGTCTGCTTTGTTTATGTTTACATTCAGCACCATTAACACCGGATCACTCACACACTTTAGATTTCTAGCTGTCAGTTCCACTGAGAAACGTCTCTTGGATCACCTTATTGATTAAAGCGAAACGGAACGATGCGAAACGGAACGCAGAATTAAAACAAAACAGCAAATAAGACTACCAGACACAAAGAGTCGTTCAAATTACCGGGGATCCACGGTACACGTAATTTTATTCAGAAATCGAAGAGAAAACTGATTTTCTTGGATTTTTTGGTATATTTTTCCAATATTAAAAAATATATATCAGAAAAAAATGTGTGTTCTGGTCGGTAAGATTCCCTAATGTGGCCTAATACCATACAGGTAACTCTAAGACTAGAAGGTTCCGAAATAACGTGCTCAACTTTTTGGCTCAGCTCTGGAACTATCTTCGGTCCCAAGCTAATCGATTCACCCCTCGAAACATAGGAAAATCCACTAACCCCTCATTTTATCTGTCAAACTTTCATAGCGAATCAAAACAAACATACTGAAGTACTAGAATTTCTACTAGAATGGGGTACGTTAATCGTTTTGCTTGGGACCAATAGGCTAGTCAAGTAGTGAGCCAATTTAAAATCGTTAGATTCGTATTGATTGTTGCTAATACTATAAGACCAGAAGATCCCGAAGAAACGTGCTCAACTTTTTGGCTCAGCTCTGGTACTATCTTCGGTCCTAAGCTAATTGATGCACCCCTCAAAACATAGGAAAATCCACGAACCCTTCATT